TTACAGCCACATCATAATTAGCCTCACATAATAAAATGTTCACTTTGTCTGGTTTTGTTGCAGCATGCCCCATATAACTTTATCAAACAAGTTACTATCAATGCTAATTTATGATATGTACATTTCAAACAATTTGAATCGTTGGCGATTGTATATGACAAATCTGGATCAATGGATATGTGGATGTCCATACCATCTGACCAGCCGATTCAATATTTTCATCAAAAGGGAAGAGCTGCGCCAGAATTCTTTAATATTAACCAGATTAGGAACTGGAAACCTCCAATATTTACATCGAACAATCGGCTCAAATGTCACACCAAATGACGATGCTGTAATTGAAGATTCAGCCGAAGAGGATGATACTTTGACGAATTAATTAGTACATATACAACCAGAAAGTCACTCTATATCTTGGAGGAACAGAAGTCAAAAGACAATATAGATTGGTGCAAGGGCTTACTTTAACCCCTTATCTAAATTAGAACGTTGAACAATATCGGAGGAAGGGAACAATGCCACTCACTTGGAGAGGTCACAATGATAGCACTAGATATTTACTATAATTATTACTCATTTTCATACTGTATGCACTATACTGCATTGATGTGTAACTTGGCACAATTACTAATTTCAGATCTAAATTCCGTTGTGATCCCACCATTAAACGTCACACAGCCCGTAAAATTTTGATGGGAGTTCATCTGCCCTTAATCGAGATGTTTAATATAGTGGATTTTTTCCTTTTCCAATCGTCATTATGATTCTGGCCGTGTATTACCCTACGATACGGGTGCTACCAGTCGGGATAACGTCATCCGATATTTCTTACTAATATTCTCCTCATCCCATATATCGTTTGTCTTCATTTTACACCGATGGCTACCAACATCACTTGGCATGAAGGTGCAGTATCGCGCACAGAACGCGAACAATTACTACGTCAAAAAGGCCTCACCATCTGGTTCACTGGGCTGTCTGGATCCGGAAAATCAACACTTGCAAGTGCATTGGAGCAGCATCTTTTGCATCTGGATGTGGCCAGTTATCGACTCGATGGCGATAACATTCGTTTCGGTCTTAACAAAGATCTTGGATTTGGTCCTAAAGATAGAACAGAGAACATTCGCAGGATTGCAGAGGTAGGAAACGTTGTAATTCTTGATTGTGCGGGTTAATGGAAACGGGTGCAAAAGCATGCTGATTCATTGACTAACGATACGAGAGATTCTTATTACAATTCTCGTTATCAATGCTTACAATTCATAGGTCGCAAAATTGTTCGCAGACGCAACGATAGTCGCATTAACGTCGTTCATATCACCGTATCAAGCAGACAGAGATGCTGCTAGAAAATTGCACGAGGATAGCGGAATTCCGTTTGTTGAAGTAAGGGCGATAATGCACAGTTAGGAAATTAATGACTGGCATTATTAATGTTTTGATTGCATTCATTTAGGTGTATGTTGATGCGCCATTAAATGTAGCTGAACAACGTGATCCAAAAGGACTTTACAAAAAGGCGAGGGCTGGCGAAATCAAAGAGTTCACTGGGATCTCTGCACCATATGAAGCTCCACCAGAGCCCGAACTACACATTAGAACAGATCAAACGAGTATAGAGAAAGGCGTCAAGGTAGGTTAAGTCAGTCGTATAACTGATAGTTTTGATATCAGATCATTACGTCCGATAATAACATTCCTCTATCGCAGATTATCGTTGATTATTTGGAAGAAAAAGGATTTTTAGTGCCTAAAACATCAAATTAAACGTAAATTGCTCTTATAAATCGTTAAAGGAACTTAATAAATAAAACAATATCGATTCAATGATAATTTAATCTCGAATAAAGCACAATTGTACCAGACAATATCGATATGCGTTAAATTCCTGAATTGGTAGTTTGTCCTCACAATTTCGCTGTGTATGAACCTTGCAAGAAATAGACGATTAGTGGTACAAACTCTGCGTTAAAAATGTGGCTTGTTCAACGAACAGTTGTTACAACGTTTCAATTATTGCGAATCCAATCTCTTACTGTTCATCGCTCACACACAAACTCTAAAAATGGAAACCTCCAATATTTCACTTTCCGTTGAGCACAATGCTATTTATTGTCAGGCTCACCACCTCGAAACTTGTACAGCTTGTGACATCGACTTGTCACCACTCAACAAATTGACAAAAGAACTACGCTCGATTGATGGAGACGTACCTCCTCCCAACTACGCGAGCGAACAGTTGTCTAGAGAAATAATACATTATAAAAATGAGGGAGACGCTCACTATAAGAAAAAGAACTACAACGAAGCCATAAAATTGTATTCACGAGCAGTTGAATTGGCCTTTACCAGACCAGTATGGGAATCCAGCATGAGAAATAGAGAAGAGCTATCACTTTGTCTCAGTAACAGGGCGGCAGCCTACATGGCCATCAATGCTTGGGTTGACGCATATGTAGATGCGGTTGCTGTTTTACAATTGAAGAATCAGTGGACAAAGGGTCATCTTCGCAAAGGGAGAGCCTTGATGGGTTTGAAACGGTTCGATGAAGCTGTTGAAGCATTCAGAATAGGTTTGACATACGATCCCGAAAACAAGGAATTACAGACGTGGTTGGCTGAGGCCAAGGCTCTTTCGGATTAAGTTTATAGACATTCGTACATTTAATTTGCAGTTATTCCTTGTTGTATATCACGTGTTCAATTGTTTGAATAAATGCTTTCATATAAATGACGTTGTTCTATTTTAAATAATAATACATAATAATAATATTATTATTAATGTATTTTTCAATCATACTATATGTCGATCTGTCACGGGCTTGCGGCAGATCTTTTGCTGATCATATGTCAATAATTTTGTAGGTCGTCTCTCTTCTTCCCATTACAACTTTACTCATTGTTATCGTGATTCCTTCTCAAATGGACTTCCTTACCGCGGTTCAGTTAACCCCCAAAGATGCAGAAATTAGTTCAATACTTTCGGAGTGTGGCAGTACAGATCACGGAGAGGAATTATTAGCGGAAGACACTGATATGGCCTTGCAGATATCGGACTTTCCTATTCAAATTAGTCGTTTCATAGAAAATCAGGATGATAATGGGTTAGAATACATAGCTTATGAGGAATTTAATGGGGTAGAAGTGATTAGTAAGGGAGAAAGTGGATGCGTATCAAAGGCTATTTGGAAGAAAAAAAACGATGAAGTATTCGTAGTCGCTTTGAAGAAAATTTATTCATACGATAACGGGGGAGGTGCCGTAACTGGAGTGCTGAAAGAGGTAAGGCAAGGATCGGAATATAATTTATTTATGTATATTTTGCACAAGTATACTGAAACTCATTGCATCGGGCTAATAATGGTCATTTCCCAGCTCGAAGCATACAAGTACACAATGGCAGCAGGAAACACGCCTGTACCACCAATTCTCAAATACCATGGTCTTTCCCAAGACCCTGCGACATCGGACCCACTGATAGTACAAGAGTATGCTAACTATGGCAATTTATGGACTTACCTACAACGACACTTTGATCAACTCACATGGTCAGCAAAGATCAAGCGTCTCCAACGCATAACTGAATGTCTGAAAGCAATACACGAATTAGGTCTTGTACATGGAAACCTGCATAGTGGTAATATTCTTGTCCATAAGGACAATACATACATTGCTGATCTCGGTGCCAGTAAAGACGATGGTGTGATTTATGGAGTACTGCCTTATGTTGCCCCCGAGATATTTATGAGTGGAACGTATAGTATGGCGGCTGATTTGTATTGTTTTGGTATTATTATGTGGGAAATGGCAACTGGGGAAAGACCGATCGCAGACCGAGCTCACGATATTGAATTGGCCTATGATATATGTAATGGATTACGGCCGGCTTTACCCGATCATGTGCCCGCCTGCTATGCAGACTTGATGATGCAATGTTGGGACAGTGATCCTAAAAATAGACCTATCGCTGCTTCCGCGTACAATACACTAGGTTCATGGATAGCAGATGGAAAGTATATTGAAGAATTGAATGCTGCCGAAGGAAGGAAGTCTACTATCAGAAAAGAGCAAAAAACTATTCATCCCGAAGCCATTTACGTGAGCAAATCACTTAATTCTTTGATTGAATTAACATGTCAAAAGTACAACTTGGATCAAGAATCGCAGCTTAATGAAGTTGAGGCTGAGGAAAGAGCTGACGAACACGAGTATAATTCGGATCACGAGTTGCAGATTAATATTGAAGATGAAGAACATGCCGGTGAACACAAGTAATGACAAAAGTTCGGTTGAAGACTTACTCGCTTGCCATACAGAACGCTGGATAAATACAGGGTCAGCATTAACAGTGCTGAAATGCAACATAGATTGGGAGCAACTAACTAAACCCCCACCAACGAAAGAAGCAATGCACATACTGTTTTCGATAACCCTTTATTTATTGAACAGGTTTATTGTTGTCTTAATGGTGTTTGTCTGTAGAGTATCACCTAAATTAATAATATAAGAAACGTTTTCGTCATGTTGATTCCAAACAAATGATCACTTTTGTTCACTTTTTATTGAATTCCATGCTGTATTCTGTCCTCGCCGGCAGGTGTCTTGTGATCGGCTGGGTTGGCAGTTGCTTCGTATATTGTTATTATAGGATCTTGCCTGATCTAGAGGATGTGAAATGGAAGCATTAGCACAAAGTATATCTTTAGATGACACCATAACCTTATTGTCACTCCAACATCAACGAATACATACTGCCATCCATTCACCCTTGAATCCCAGGAAGGATATTCTGGTCAGGTCATCACCATAATTATCGGGAATGAATAATGTTAAATTGCGTACGTTATACATTTTCGTCATCCTAGTAAGATTAGTATAATTATTATTTTGAGTATAGTTCCTATAACGTAGACGCAACGTCGTCGAGTCCAATTACTTTGTTTGATATTCGACTATTTCGCCAGTTTGTACCAAATCCCATTCTTGTGTCGGAGTTATTCTCTCTGCGGTGCTAAAGTCAATATCCTCCCGATTGATAAAACTGAAGAAGGGAAATAGAGAAAAATAGAAGGCAGTCATTTCAGTTAATAATAATTGGGCGTTTTAATCTGAATACTATTCCTACAAGCTGATACTTGCGCCTTTAATTTTGCCGGACAGCTATCTCCGGGTCCACCTTTGATTAGAATTGACTTTAGTTTGACACTGCCAGTGAATCTAGATAACAAACAACTCACAGTGAGTTCAGCTCTATCAATAGGATAAGACGAAAAGCTCATCCAAGGACGCTCCATACTTACGGTATGAAAAAGATCAGTTGTTCGTCAGCATCACTCTCTACGTACTGATACAAATCGAATTGAGATATTATATTATATTTCAAATATCAAAATATTGTAACCCAAACCTTCGTTGTATCATTTCGCTCGTGCCATGGCTTTATAACCTTCTTCCCGGCACCCGGTTCACTCTCATTTAAACATCGCACGTTCTCTTGATTAATCTGAGAAAATAGTGATTTTTCAGCACCTCTATCAGGACCATCGTGGTCATGCTCATGCTCGTGGTCCCCATGGTTATCTCCATGGCCGTGACGGTCTGATTCATTTTCCTCTCGGCATTGACTCATGCTTTCTTATTCTGTAGGATGCTGTGTAAGACAGGCGTGTTAATATGTATATATGGTAATAGCCAATAAGGGCCATAACAGAGATAATCTAACTAAAATCAGTTAGGCAATATTAATATTGGTACGCTTGACTACAAAACGACGGCGTCTATACTTTGAAACGTTCGTGTCTGGATACAAGTCGGTCAATATACACCTATATAGTCACAACTCCCATGTATATGTAGTCACATTCTTGTTGGAACCAACCGGTTTTATAACAAATTTACCCCTTTTTAGGCACATTTTGAAACAAAACGAAATCGCAACTTAACTCTAAATATAGTCTCAACATTGACCGAACGATTATCAGTAAAATAATAAATAAAAAAGATAAGTCATTTTTCTCTGAGTAATTACAGGAATGTTTTGATAGGTGTTTAACTCTCTTCGCGATTGAGATGTAGTCTTTAGTATAGGAAGAACGTTTCTGTTTATTGCTTGCGATAAATGAAGCGGTTATTTCGCCAGTGATTTTTGGATTAAACGTAATTATTTAATTAACGATTTTTATTTATGAATACCTCACGTGACTATGAGTATGGAATTCTTCCATGTAGTCACTCCCCTACAGTCACACCGATTAACCGATGGCGTGACTATAGAAGGGGTATGACTGTACTCCAAGCTTGAGATTTTGGATGATTTGGTCACCTGTTAAAACGAATATTCGACAGCCGATATCTTTTTTTTTTCTTTCTTACAATGCCTATAAACCCGGTATTTAAGCAATACAAACAATGATAGCATTGTACGCGTAAACTACTCTTACTCTCGTAGAGTATATTTTGCAGAGGCAGAGATTGCCAAGGCTCGATTAAATGGTTAAATTCAAAGATCAATATACAAACGCTCTTTCTTGATTACTGACTCGACAGTTGTAATAAGAGCACAATGTTAGCAGCCCGACGTTCGTGTATTAGAAGACACCAGCACATCAACTACCCTCAAGTCTAACAATATGTATAACGTTGAATTGAGTAAAATTAAAACATCAGCATTTCTTGTACAGGCATGAACTTTTTATCCAAACTAAAATTCATATTGGTCAAGCTCGTGGGCGAGTGTAATGTAAGTTTATTGAATTTAAATTTTTGTTCAACTCAAAAAAGGAGTAAACTTAATTCAATTTTAAATTATATTTTAATTATTTATAATATTTTTGTAGCTAGTTGCTGCTGTCACGAGCCTCGCGGGTTTTGACGTGGTTGCGGTATTGATCCTATAAAGTAACATAATTAAATCTTTAAGTCCGTTGTGCTATATTAGACAATGCGTATCGCTCTATATACTATATATTCACTTTAACAATAATTATAAACTGCCTCTCTAGTTCAACCTTAATGCAATTATAATTATGTAACAAGCAAAGATATCGTGGCGCCTGTTACGTAAGTTATGTAATTACTTGTAGGTTATTTCGTAAGGAAGCCGTAAACGATGAAATTACAACCAATAACAAAATTGTCAATGAACAAGATTTATTATTATGCGATTATTTAATCGCGTAGAATTAACACAAGTTTTCACGTGACGCCGATCAATTTACTATTACTGTATTAGTATTAGCGTTGACGATGGTTAGAGAAAACATGACCGAACGATATCGTATCGGTTATGTGTTAACTAAACATATTGCAGTCTTTGACCTGTTTAGAGAATATGCAAGGCAAGGTTTTGCTAATCAAGTGTTTAAACTAGTTCTGTATAATGAATTCATTTATCTTGTAGCTCGCGCGGAATAGAGTTCGTTAAGCTCGATATCGGAAACTTGTCACAAGATCGAGGCTTTTTTGATATTATAATTCATAAAATCACCAAGTTATTGATTTCTTCAGACCCCGATGATAGCGATAAACTCGCGCAGTTCGAGGTGAACTTTTTTAAACTTTACAACAGAGCTCAGTACACAAACTTTTTTGTAAGATTTAATTGTACGTCAGGCATTTTTAGCGCAACATCCTGAATCGATTGTAATAGATCCTCTGGAATACATCAGACCATTAGTGCACAGAGGGGAGATGTTGAGAATGTTAAAAAAGTCTAGATGGGCAGGTAATAACTTACGAGTACAGTTCACTGAATCAGCAGTGATTCAGAAATTCCTGTGAGCGTAATTACTAATCCGTCAGCAATTTATCAAGAGAATTCAACAGATGCTCTTTTTTATCTCCCGAAAAGTGCAATAGTTCGGCCGTTATCATTGGAGACCGTTCTACAATCTGGTCTGAAGTTTCCAGTAAGTGTTGCAGAGGCTCAACTGTCCTTATTACCAAATATGAAACTTGGGAAATCATCTTTCATAAATTACTCTGTAGTTAGTCTGCAAACCAATAGCAGGAAGCGCGTCGGTGCATTCTCATCAAATACTATTGCTTCCGTCCGCAGAAGCATTTGCGAAACGTCTATCCGGAGAACTAGAGGACTATATAAATCAGAATCAATCCTGCTTATTACAAGAATTTGTGAATCACGATGGAATTATATTTAAATGCTTTGTCATTGGTAACAAATCTGTACATGTAGCAAGGCCTTCAATGAAAAACTTAAAAGGTAAATGATTCGCGCGAATCCTATGTATAATAGGACGCTTCTAACAGATTTTTATATATAACAGAAGACGAAGACGTACATATATTCGATAGCCAGCGTATTCCAAAGTCATTTGCATGGGAGTCTAATTTGCCGTCTAAAAGTGAGAAATGGGACACACTATTTGAAATTTCACCTTCTCAGGATATGCTCGACTATAAAAACTCATTGTTAAACGAGTCACGTCTAAATGCTATTGCAACTTCTATTGGTCGGCAAAGTGTAAGCCAGCAGTTTGGTTAATGTATTGAATTCCTTATCTAGCCAAGAAATTCTGATGCAATGCACACTGTAGAATCTAACTCTCTTTGGGTTTGACGTTATTATCGAGGCATCAGCACAAAAGCTCTATATAGTCGATATCAATTATTTTCCCGGTAATGAACCTAAAACTTGTATCGTAATTTTTGAAGTAGAGCCTCAATCTGACTATATTATTCTCTTGACAGGTTATGACAATATCCCCGACTTTAATGCCGAATTTCTAAAAACTCTTCTTGACAAGTTGCGGGCCAGGTCGCGAATTAATTGATTTGTCCAACCGCGCGTGCGATATTTAAAAAAATCATAGACAGAGTATTTATTTTAGCCAAAACGTTTGGCAATTTATGTGTCTTCCCTGTTCTGCGATAATATGACAAGACACACTAGAATCTATATTTTGACTATATTTTTATTAACTTGCCTCCTCCCAAATTTGAATCTCATCAAAGATTCATAATAAATACTTATCTTCAACTTCCATCCTATATTAATATCCGAATATTACAACTTCACAATTCTTTTAGTCAAAAATAATGTCCTCTAATTAACAAGCCAATCATTCTTAAAATCTCTCATGTATAATCCCACAGCAAGTAAATCATCCTTCCCACCAGCCTTTTGCAAATATTTTTCTAATACATCTCTATCAGCATGTGGTATTATATCGCATAACTTATTTAGCGCCTTTTCGTCAACTTCCACGAGCGTATCCAACGACTGTGTGCTGCCGTTTGAAATTTTTTCCTCGCTTACGCTATTCGTATTAGACCCGAAACCAAATCTTGACGTTACAGATTGCAAACTGAATCGTCTTTGTTTCTTGAGTGTGGTTGGTGTCGGTGGAGATTTGGGCAAACTGGATAATGAGGTGCTCGAAGAATTGGGTGATATGTGATACATTATTGGAGAGTGCACCGCCGATTTACTGCTAGCTTTGCTCAGACTCGTGCGACGGCCTATGGACGATAGGAACGTAGGGGTTTTTGATCGCGTGGAAGGTGTATGTCCTAGCGATGTTTTATTTCGAATAGAGGACGGCTGATCGAACGACATACGTGACGACTTGGATGATCTGGACGAGCTGATGGAAGTCGACGGTGTTATGGAAGATTCACGATTGGTCAGCGGCGATTGAGTATGTGAGGTGTCCTGTACCGAAAGATCAGTAGTACTTCCTGATGCTATTGAATGGTTGTCGCCTGTCCCCATCTTCTTGTAATCTAGAACATAGATAATGTTTTTAAGTCTTTTTATTGAATCGAAAATCATTTGCAGTTTGATACTGCAAGCCAAAAAACTAACTCACACTTAGGTGGGGGTGCTTGCGGCTGTTGCATACTAATACGAATCCATATAGTTAATCCAGTTTCTTCATGCTTTAACGCATTAAACTTGGCAACTAGGAATCAGTGAATTCGAAAATAATAAAATAATAAAAGCTCTTTTGAATGTATGAATAAAGTTATATAAACAAATCAAAGAGGTTATCTTACCGAATGCGTTCTTCCTTTGAAACCTGCTCTTCAATTGTTTGACATCGCTTATGTCCAATGCAGATGGCAATTTTCTGATTCCCTTAAACTGCTCCATATTCGCCGTTGTAGGGGAAGACGTTTCTATTGATCGAGTTTCGGATACCTGATCTCCCACGTATGTCTTTGCGTTAGATTCACACATACTCGTTTGTAGCTCGGTTTCATTAAAGTTCTGGACATTTGCTAACGCGGAACCTGTATAATCCGAAGAACCTCCAAGTGATCTATCTTTTCTTGCATAATAGTATAACGCTTTCAACTCATATATTGGATCCAGTAAGCTTTCGCTTCTTTTCTGAGTTAGTCCATCCACCTCTCCGTCAGTGTGTTGTTTTATATCGTCTTCCTTATTGGGTTGCTGTTCTTCATCTTCTGGTTCTTCGACTATAACACTATTGCACAGATTATCGCTAGTAGAATTCTCGAATGCTGCATTGATAATATCCCTTACAGAAGGAAATGATATATCGGCAGAAGAAAGTTCGTCTTCCGAGAGCCCTTCCTCTTCGCTATCTGACTCGAATACAATAGATTCGGGTATATAGCTCTGTTTCAGCGGTGATGAGATGCGGGCCGGATGTCTGAGAGAAAGCTGAACGTTTTCATTTAGGAGATGATATTGTGCAGAATTGGGTAAAGTATGTGAGGACATGCCATTTGATAGATTGGGCGATATGACTTGTCTAGACTCGGTCTCTTCATAGACGTTCTTTTCAAAGCCTTCTTGACTATCGATACGATCAGTATTCCCATCCCCATTCTCATCCCCATTCTCATCTCCACTCTCATCCCCATCTGCATTCTCATCCCCACTCTCATCCCCATTCTCATCCCCATTCCCATCCCCATTCTCATCCCCATTCTCATCCCTATTATCATCATCACTATTCCCGTCCTCATCTTCATCCCCATCCCCATCTTCATCCCCATCTTCATGCTCATAATAATTCCTATATACATCCTCGTGCCCGTCCCCATAATTATTCCCTTTCTCGTCTTCTTCGTGCATATTTTTATGTTCATTATCAAATTCTTCTTCATTATTTACATCCTCTTCCTCTTCTTCCTCATTTGATGTGGCTGGAGAGTTGGGATCTTCTTCGAGGCAGTGTTCAAAGCTGTGAGTTTCGGCTTCGACGACAATGCCAGCAGAAACTTGATAATTGTTTTCAGAAAGACGTATCGACTCATCTATTATTTGCGTTTGTGATAGAGCTGGTGTAGAGTAAATCGAATGAGAATGTTATTTCATACGCAATTAAATACTATGCTGAACGGTCGTAGATATACGACTCACTACAACAGTCAGCATGATCCACCTTGTGACACTAATGATATCAGAAATGTCCATTAGCCTTCTTTACTGACATTATAGATGTAAAGAACAAACTCTCAGTCAAATAGTAAATGTATCTATAAATAAGAATAATACTTTCAAAAGTACTCGCTTCTCCCCCACAAAGACAGATTCGCTTTCTTACGAACCCCAAATCATTATACACGCCTTCGTTTCTACTTACAGGAACTTTGGCCATCACCAAGGGCTTTCTTTAATTTCTTCAATTCAGCCAATATTTCCAAATCCTCCATCCCTAACGTAGTCTTCTCCTGTTTACGGTCCATCATGTCTCATATGATATTAAATAAATAACCATGACAACATTCGAAAGCAAACAAGTTTCATAAGTGAGTGAGAAAGTCGAATGGGTAAAGTGCATTTGTCTCACAAATTTTAAATGTCATGTGTTACTTCCTAGAAAAGGTGGATTGTGGTCCCATTGTTAATGATAGTAAGTAACTGATCTTTGTTTCACACAATTTCTGACATTCTCATGAATGAGAACATTCACAGTGGGAAATTAACCGAATTGACTACTATGTATAAAACATAGAGACACACAATATAGCAGGGAGATACTGCCTATTCCCTCGTTCAATCGAATTACAAACCAAAGCTGTTTCAGCGAATGCAACATTACGTAATAGTATTACGATTTTGAATAATAGCTCGAACAAATAATATTTGGCTTCCTCAAACGAGAGTTTAATATAATATAGTTATCAAGCATATGCTAATGCTTGACCACAAGCAGTCTGATTATGAATGTATGTTTGTAGGCTAATGTCGCCGAGATGGACGCGAGGGAGACGTTTACATTCCGTTTGACATTGACAGGTTTATTGATCCAGCGGCCCTATTCAGAAACTAACCGATTCAATATACTGTTGCATCACGCTTGTTATTCATAAGCGAGTAATATTAGTCTATTTTTATACCCCAACCATTGAGTGGAGCAACTGATGCGTTATCCAGATATATGATAATCGCCACACGATTGCCACTTTTTTGTTAACGCTTGACCCTGTAGAACATTGAAAGTACGAGTTAGATACAAGCTCGAAAATCAACAGGAATTTTAACGCGTCCATCGTACCAAGTATAACTCTTCCTCGCTTTGGCAAGTCCGGGTTTTTTCCGTTCAACAACTCTTGTATCGCGGGTAACAAGTTTAGCTTTAAAAAAAAGAAGAATTGTTCGAGTTACAAATCGGGGTGGTAAACCAATATATAAAAGAGATTAGCATTAGAAAGTATTGCTGAAATCTACCTTTTCTTAGAATGGGTTTGAGATCATAATTATGAATTAACAAGCCCTTTGTAATAGCATGAGCAATTGCCCCAGACTGTCCTATAAAGTGACATCGACTTATTCTCTCATCAATTCCCACATAGCTCGACTCTTTTATTGGTAAATAAGTTCCATCACTCCATCACTCACCCGTTGGTCCACCTCCTTTGACAAGGGCCCAAACATTATATTGGCCAACAGTCTCAGTCACTACAAACGGAAAAATGCAGGTTTCCCTATCTTTTGCTTCTATGAAATAATCTGCTAGCGGACGTCCATTGACCCTAACATCTCCTGCTCCTTTAATCAAAAAAACTCGTGCGGTCGCTTCTTTCCGTCTACCAACTGTGAGACTTCTATTATACTCGTCCAATTGTCCATGCTTACTCGAGGCCAGTTCTTCTCGTTTGTCTACTAACTGATAATGCCGTTTGAATAACTTAAGATACTCCTTTACTTCATCTGCTTCGATTAAATCGAGTTTATTGAGTTTTTGAACTATCTTACTGTACTGGCTAGTTTTCAAAGAGATGCCGAGGTCCTGGCTTAAGACTGCGTTAAGTTTCCACAGAGTGGCCAGTGGTGATTTTTGCCTCTTTGGAAAGGCTGAATACTTTGATATCAAGTCGTCTAGTTGTATAAGCAAATCATAATAGGCTGGCTTGCCAGTAAAATATGAAGACGTATGTGGTTTAGAACGTTCTTGGAGAAAAGGTTGAACCGTGTCAAGGAATGCCGGAGTAATTGTTGAAGATTGTCTATGAAAGAGCTTAAGAGAAAGCGGGGGTAAGGAGGAACGAATTATGCGTGAGGAAAGTATGATATTAGGTTTTGATATGAGGAGGACAAGTTGGTGAATTCTCGTGTGAGCGTTCATTGTAAACTTTTTCGTTCATCTAGTGAGGGTCAAGCATTTTATTGGTTTCACCGATTATTACAGTGTGTAACGAAAAAAAGGAGATCAAATTATTATTATTATTATTATTATTACTCAAGTAAGTAACCTTATAAATTTATTCAATATGGTATACGCTCGCCATTGCTCTACTAAATTAATTAGAGTTGCTCGTGGAATATTTGCCACTCCTCTTCCATAAACTGGTTAACTCTCCAGCATTCGTCTCTCAACATTGCTTGTAACCATAATGTTTCTGAATAAAATCTTTAGCAACTCTACTTGTGGTCATTGTTCTCCAGCTCTTGCCAAGCGTCTGATTAATTTCAGGAATATGTTAAGCTAAAATTTCAACATAAAAATTTGCATCCATGATTTGTTTAGAGAAGTTTTTCCTTTTACACAAAATCCACCCCAAGCAAAAATTTTTGTTCTGTCTTTTGGTACAGTCTTTCACCCTTTCAATGTGATAATTGGAATGCCGTTTCATCAGAAAATAATGGTTTTTTCCAATTATCATTAAGATTCTGTCTTGCCCACTGTACTCGTTTTTCTTTATGAGTTTCAGTGAGCATTGGCGTAGCCATTGGTAGGCTTTTGGAGTAACTAATATGGATTATTTGCAGAGCAAAGCCACTTGCGTAGCCTCCTTCATCCGCTGTATAATATTCTTCATCGGAGTTTAGATGCGAAAGCAACTCGCGGCGCGAGTCTCACACTGCTTTTGACGTCTCATCTTAATCATATTTTTTATGCCTTCAATTAATAGCGCTTGGCGTGTCAAAATATGTGGACATGTTTGTCATTCTGTCTTTATGAAAAAAAAATTTTTTTATGGTAACGTTCACGGTACACTTCTATGAATTTTGGGCGCTTTAAGCCGTTTCGTTTCTTTCTTGATTATTTCTTTACACTTGTCGTCACTATAGTCACTATGAAATAAAACTTCTAGGAAAAAAAAAAAAAGAACTTTTTTATAACCGATAATATACTTTTGAAAAATCATGAGTGCACTTGCAGCGCAAATAAAAAAAGAAGAAAAAAATTTCGATTTTTCATAGAGACTTATAGTGACTATCTACAAAGGTCTAAAAAACATAAAAAACTAGTTAACTTTGTCACTATAAATTTTTTTGTCACCGTGAAATCAATGGTGACAAATTTTTGTCGTACGACACGCATGGATAACTATTTTCTATCCGATAAAACGAATACCACTATGTATTTTCTTTGATTCATTTAGCACCAGTTTTTTTGTTGATAATAATCTTTAAACTGATACTTGCCGGAATGATCTCTACATGCACGAAACGTAGAGAATGTCAACTTACCACATTCTTTACAAGGTACGCGCGTAGGAGCCTTCCAGTGAATTTTACACCCCTCAGGTCTATAACAGCCTTTATTGCAATTTTCGCCAATAAGGACAACAATAAAATCCCATATTAGCTTTGCTAGTTCGCTAATGAATTTTTGATACACGTATTCTGTATCTAACGCTAATGTTTCTAATAAATAATCAATTAATTATTTATTTTTTTATTTGAACTTTTCTATAACCGATAATATACTATTGAAAAATCGTGAGTGCACTTGCAATAGTTATATTATGAAAGGTCTAGAAAGTTCCTAAGAATACGCCATTGATTAAGCCACTGATCAGCATTAGTATATTACGCGCAGCCTTTTTATTTTAGCAGTACTACACTTTTTCGTTTAGAAATTCACTTTTTCAAACATGAACGATCAAACTACTGTTGCTCAATATTTGCAAACCTTTGTTGATGCTGGCAAGGCAAGCTCAGAGCAAACAACCGCCGTTAATGAAATATTTACTCAGAATTGGTTGAATACACTGGGCGACGTCAAGAATTTTACTGCTACAGAGTTGGGAAATCTGAATATACCTGCGGGTTTAGTCAAAGATTTAGAGGCAAAAAATTTTCTCAAACCAGAAGCAGGTAACTCGGGCGTTGGGGACATAGAGTAGTGTGTACATAGGGTAGAGTAGACATAGTAATGTGGGTTGTAATATAGTTTTATTGCGAGAATGTTATTGTAGCTGGAGTTGACTTCTTTCATTCATGATACTCATGCTGTGTATTCCATGCTATCTCTTACCTCTATTCATCTTTTACTGTTTCTTCTTTATTTCCATCCATCTATCCATTACTCTTGCTTGCAAACAATCATTAATAGTTGGTCAAGATAGGTAACAACTTTGTGACTTGGGCATTGGGGACATAAAATAGTGTGTACATAGGGTAGAGATAGTAATGTGGGTTGTAATATAGTTTTATTGCAAGAATGTTTCTCCTTCTCCTTCTGCCACTCTTTCTTCTCATCTTTGTCTTTATACGTTTTTCCCCAGTTTTATCCAACTGTATTTTTGAGAAAATGCTTGGTATAAATAAGCATTATTGACTAGATGGTACTTTTTTCCCTTGCTATCATAGGTAATAGTAAAAGGAAGAGTGAATGGGAACAGAGTTTGCAAACAACTAAGAGATACATTCCCCGTATTAAAACTGAAGGACCAGTCAACTGGCATAGTGATATTGTTGTCCCACTGTCAATGATTCCTCTGTATACCAAAGTTAAATCAATACTATGTGAAGGTGGTTATGTCCTTCTTCATGGGCCTCGCCAGTATGGGAAGACTTCAATAGCAGATGCTCTCTGTGAGGACAGTGATCTCAGTGAATTGGCACATGTATGCATCTACACTCTAACAAACGTTACTCAACATGATTCTTCAAGTGACTTTTGGTATTCATTTGCTAATGGCATTGTTGGCAGTTTGCGACGTGGACTTGAGCCAGATACTAGTTGGGTGTTGTTGGCAAATGCCGCATCGGAGGTGAAGTCACGGATGACATATGAAACTTTTATGCGCACAATCTCAACGATTTTAAAAAAACCCTTAATTATAATTATGGATGAATTTGATAGTATAATTTCGACAGGTACTAATACAATTGAACACTTATATGATTTACTTGCAACTTTACGTACTTTCCGCTCAGAGAAGACAACTCTCCATGGGTTTTTGGGTATTGGAAGCTACAGACTACGGTTATTGATAGACAATGAAAAACACCGTGTGTTTGATCACACTGCAATATCCCCTTTCAATATAAGCTGTTGTTTTGGGGCTGAACCTTTCACCATAGATATGA